ACATACTGGGTCACGTTTGAGAACACGCCTAGGAAGCCATATGTGATACACGTCTTCAGATGGCGCAAATACACCTACCCCATCATGAAAAATGCCGTGCTATTGAGATAGCTGAGAACGCTATGGACCTAAAACGTCCCAGCACGGCGTTGTAGCGACTTGACTCAACTGTTGCTATTACTCAACATGCTTGACCCCATTGTGACGAGAGGGTCATCGCCTATCAAGCTATACCGGGATGATGAGGGAGTCGCTGCCTGCGGGCCGCGCTACTGGTACTGGCGGCCCTCGACGGGACCTTACACCGCCTGGTCTGCCAGCCTTTTTACACCACACAGCTACGGTGTTCATTTAGAAGTTAAAAGTACCGAGTCGCGTGCGATTGGGTGTTATGCCTGGAAAGCAGATGAGAGACAGAACAAAAGTTACTTGCTGGTGGCCGAATCTTTCTTCGAAATGCTTTGAGCGAGACAGCCGCTTGCCCGAGGACCCCAAGGCCAGCAAAAATGCAACGTCGTCGCCCTGATATTTGGCCTCCTTTCAACCAATGCCCACTTCGAAGTGACCTGTTGTCCGCCTCCGTCCGTGATTCGTTCCCGAGTGAGTCGTGACCGGCATATTTGCCGGAGGGCGAAAAAGAGGGGGGGGAGGTGACCCCGCACGCACGTCTGAGCGCTGCGCTGGTGCTGGCCGGCCGATGGGTGACAACCCGTCACCGCGCGGCTCGGGCCCCCTCAAGATCAAGGTCGGCTGACGGGAGCGGGATTAGCGACTGATAGGAACGTGGAGATTGCCGCTGGCCGATCGCTCCTGTCATGACCTTCGGGCGCCGACTGTCATCTGTGGTAGATAATGGGGAGCACTTTCCTGTTCATTGTTACTAGGCAGGGGACGACCGCATTCGATGAAGCTAGCGTTCAGTAATGATATCCTAAGTGATGCGAAACTCTGGGATCTTGAGAGCGATGTTCTACACCGCAACCAGCCTTGATAGCCACAGGAACGCATAGATAGGTTGCTGCCATACGTAATGTGAGCCGTGTGTTCCCCCAGCATTCAACTATCGCAAGGTCGCATTATATTGCAAAGGTGGAAAGTCACGGCACCCCTGTCGGAATGCTCTCTACCCCTTCGCTACGAAGGCACCTGCCAGTTGTTTTGACGTCCTAGGTGCTCCGCATCAAAGTGAAGTCGGTCTGTCGTCGGCTTGTCGTAGCCGGCTTCCAAGCAAAGAAAATATTTGTCTTGCTAGACAAATTTGTCCAGTTAGCGGGCTCGTCCTTGACGCCCTTCCCGGTGACTCGCATCGTCTTCGTTTACCCGCTCAGTTCGCCCTTCTGCCGCCAGATGGCCGACTACCTGGAGGTGGGCGGCGCGGTGGCGCTGACGGCGGCAGCCGGCGCCGCGGCCGCGCTCTATGTGCTCTCCCGGCCGCGGCCCCTGGTGCCGCCCGTGCCGCTCGATGACCAGAGCGCCACCCTGGTGGTGAACTCCGACACCATCCGCACGTCGCGCCTGCCGCTGGCCGCGTACGGCGAAGGCGAGTTCGTCCAGTACCTGGACCCGACCTGCCGCACCATGCACCAGGTGCCGCTGCGCGGGCTCCAGCAGTCTGGTGACGGCCCCTGCCTGGGCTGGCGTGCCGGCGTCGACCAGCCGTACCAGTGGCTCAGCTACAGCGAGATGGTGCGGCGCGCGCGTCACTTCGGCTCGGGCCTGGTGGGCGGCGGCCTGAAGCCCGGCCAGGGCACGCTGGTTGGCCTGTACGCGCAGAACCGGCCCGAGTGGGTGCTGGCCGAGTACGGCTGCTACTGCTACAGCATGATCACCGTGGCGCTGTACGACACGCTCGGGCCAGAGGCGTGCGCCTACATCGTGTCGCACGGCAACATCAGCACGGTGTTGGTCGACTCGGACGCGCGCGCGCTCAGCCTGCTGGAGCAGCAGCCAGAGGCGCTGCAGCACATCGTGCACTGCGGCCCGCTGTCGGAGGAGACGGCGCGGCGCGCGCGCGACGCCGGCCTGCGCGTCAGCTCGTTCGCCGAGGTGGAGGAGCGCGGCGCGCTGCTCGACGTGGCCGAGATCCCGCCGCGGCCGCAGGACGTCGCCACCATTAGCTACACGTCCGGCACCACCGGCGACCCCAAAGGCGTGATGCTGACGCATGGCAACGTACTGGCCAACGTGTCGGCCGTGCTGCTGCAGATGGGTGACGCGCGCCTCCGCCAGGACGACGTCATGCTCAGCTTCCTGCCGCTGTCGCACACGCTAGAGCGCATGTGCCACGTGGCCATGTACATGATTGGCGGCGCCGTGGGCTTCTTCCGCGGCGACATTCGTGGTCTGATGGATGACCTGAAGACGCTGCAGCCCACCTGCATCCCGGCCGTGCCGCGCATCTTTAACCGCATCCACGACAAGGCGATGGGCGCTGCGGCCAAGAGTCGGCTGAAGGCAACGCTGCTGCGCTGGGCGGTGGCCGCCAAGGAGGGGGAGATGGCGCGCCAGGTGGTGCGAGCCGACTCCTTCTGGGACCGCTGGGTGCTCGCGCCGGTGCGCCAGTCGCTGGGCGGCCGGCTGCGCATGGTGGTGGTGGGCTCGGCGCCCATGGCGCCGGCCGTGCTCACCTTCATCCGCGCTGCTCTCGGCTGCGTCGTGCTCGAGGGCTACGGCCAGACAGAGTGCGTGTGCCCGTGCACGCTGACGGTGCCCGGCGACAACGCGGCCGGCCACGTGGGGCCGCCGCTGGCCTGCGGCGCCATCAAGCTGGCCGACGTGCCAGAGATGGGTTACGAGGCGGCGACCGGCCGCGGCGAGGTGTGTGTACGCGGCGCGGCCGTCTTCAAGGGCTACTACCGCAGCCCCGAGCTGACGCACGAGGCGCTCGACGACGACGGCTGGCTGCACACCGGGGACATCGGCCAGTGGCTGCCCAACGGCACGCTGCGCATCGTCGACCGCAAGAAGAACATCTTCAAGCTGTCGCAGGGCGAGTACGTGGCGCCCGAGCGGCTGGAGAATATCTTCATCCGTTCGCCGCTGATCGGTCAGGTCTTCGTGCACGGCGACAGTCTGAAGTCGTGCCTGGTGGCGGTGGTGGTGCCTGACGAGGACGGCGTGCGGGAGTGGCTGCGCCGCGCCGGCCGGCCGCGCGTGCCGCTCGCCGAGCTCTGCGCCCTGCCGGAGCTCAAGCAGGCCGTGATGGCGGAGCTGGGCCGCGTGGCCGCTCAGGCTGGCCTCAAGGGCTTCGAGAAAGTTAAGGACGTGCACGTGGTCGCCGAGCCGCTCAGCACCAGCAATGGCATGCTCACGCCCACGCTGAAGGCGCGCCGACACAACATCCAGAAGCACTTCCAGGCGCAGATAGACGACATGTACTCGCGGCTGGACTGAGCAGCTTCGGCGTCGCCGCCGGCCCGGCCGCCCGCGGACCGCATCCGGCGGGACTCGTCTGGCAGAGCGCTCCATTCCGGAGACAGCGTGCCGGTCTCCACGGAGGCTTTGGATCGCTTCTAGAAGTCTGCCCGCGTAGCAGAATTTTACCGGACACACGTGCAACGGGGTACGCGCGCGCCGGTTCTATCCGCGCCACAGTCCCATAATTGCGACTCTAGTCAAATGACCATTCTGCGGGTGCGTGGCAGCCTGTTAGAAATCTAATCGAACGCCTATTTGTTTCGTGTAAATAGCAGCGCCATGGTGTTGGGTATTGCTCACCAGGGCTGTTGCTTGACTCCCCCGTCGTCTTAGCGCGCGTTAACTAGCATCGAATGCGTGATTGCGTAGGGCGTGCTCAGTTGTCTGAAACGCCCGTCCCCGGCATCGGTTTATCTACTTTAAAGCACAGCCTTGTTTGAAGTGGTCGGTCACGACTGCGGTCCCTTGAGTCGCTCCGTCAGATCTCTTCCGATCCATTGTCTGCACAGCTGTAGCGGTGTCTTGTCCGTAGTACTGCGCGGTGGAGAGGAAATAGACTCGTCTGGCCGCCGCTCTGGGTGCGCTCCGTCTTGGAGGGCGGGAAGACGGCGAAGTTGCGCACTGGCAGAAAAAAACGCTTCCGCGCCGTCGTGGAAAACACTGGTGCTTCTCGAGGTCGAAGCGGACCTTAGAGTCCATCACATCGCCGGTCCAAGGCTGCAGTACAGAACAGGGTTCTGCAACGCTTACTGCGCAATTCAAACATGCGGAAATGCGCCGCACGCGCAAAAATGCCTGCCAACAGCCCCCCTCAGCGGTCCCGGGTGGCTGCACTGCGCGTCATCCTCTGAGCTGTCGGTGCACGTTCGGGACACGGTGTATCGAGGCCAAAAGGTCAGTGCCAACTGGCGAGCCGGCAACCGCGCCCCTGCGGTGTCATCTGCTGTCTTCTGTCCCGGTCCCAGCCCAGTAGAAATCGAAAGAGTCCACCGGGATGTGTTGCAATGCAACCAGCGTGGAACTCACACCTCCGTGAATAAGGTCTCTGAAGAGACTTGTGCCCCGTAAAATGCATGAAGCTTCCAAAACTACGCACAAAAATAAAATATATCAACACTTCTTGAAAGCTTATGCCGGGAAGCTCAGTCACATGTGCGTGTTATGGAACCGAACATTCCCAGTTTTGATTGTGCCTCAATATACATTCCGCGGGTCTAATTACAATCAAAAGCCGTGAATAATATCGATTGGCTTAACTGGAAATTATTCCGGACTTGGACGTAGTCTGAACAACACTAACCGGAACTCGAATCTCCTCCCCGCGCAACTTTGCGCCAAGAGCTCATTCCACCGATGCGCGGTCGAGCCACGAGCCTGACATCGTAAGATCGTAGCGGACAACACGCTATGCCGACACCTTGTCTCACTGGGCCGTGCGCTAGCACAGCACGGCCGAGAGCGGGACGCCGCCAATGTCAGCTCGAAGGGACCGGGGCATCCGGTCGGCTGACGGAGCGCACGGACACCGTCGCCAGGCGCGGACCGCACCCTGTGACCGAGGTCCGGGTGACCGGCCCACTAACCTGACTGGTGGCATAGCCTCTGCAGCAGCCGGACGTGGGCCAGCAGCGGGTCGCCGTCGCCAGCGGGTGCCGCACTCTCCACGTGCACGAACGGCTGGTTGCCGGGCAGCGCGAACAGCGACTGGGCGCTGCCGACACGGGTCTCCGGTCAGCAGGCACACGCGCCCCAGGCCAGTGGGCAGCACGCATACACGAGGGCAGCGGTGTGGCGGACAGCGGCACGGCAATCACAAGCCCAGGCTGGCGTCAGGTCGTGGAGGTTGGTTTCCATATGAGCAATGTTAACTTCGGTATAAATACGAATGATGCCCCGTTCAATTCAATAACATCCATTTTAATGATAAAAAATGATGAGCCCGACGATGTTTGATGTGGGATCCGAGCCAAAGAAATATGACGGCTTCGAAAATTGGAAGTACATAATGTGAATATTGTCTCACCAGACATTCGTGATGACTGATCTCGCCTGACTTTGGTAATGACTGAGTCCTCCCATCGCCAAACCATTCAGTTCTGGCATCCGTGAGCGCGACCTCCCAGTAAAGTGGGCGTCAACTGACTCAAATTTCGGGCAAGCTACGCAAACTTCAATCACGCAGCGCGTATGAACTTTTGCTTGTTTTTTATAAGAGCCCATTTGACCAGAAATGATTATTTCAGGACCATGGGATGAAGAAAAATGACTAACGGTGGGACAGGCTCGCCCGCAGGGGGGGGGGGGGGGGGCAACCGCCGAGCTTTAACCCGCGTATGTGCGCTGGGTACCCGGTCAGGGTCCACCCTCCCACGAGGCCCTCGACCCACTCGCGGCTGGTGCACGCAGCCTGCCCCGGACAAGCAGAGCATCGCGAGGATGCAGGATGAAACAAGATGGAGGATAAGAGGGACGGACCAGGTGCTTAAATGGCACATTTGGTTTGCCTTTTTTGGATAAGAGCCCTTTTGATCAGAAATGATTGTTTCAGGGCCACAGGATGAAGGGAAATGATTAACGGTGGGGCGGACTTGCATGCGGCTGGGATGCCAACCACCGAGCTTTAACCCGCGCATGTCCACTGGGTACCCGGACGGGGTCCCCCTTCCCACAGGGCTGCCGGCCCACTCCTGACACCCTGCCCGGACAAGCAAAGTGTCGCGAGGATACACAATAAAACAAGATGGAGGATACAAAATATGGATAAGGACATTTCGAGTTACGTCATATAAGAAGTTGGACATGGTTTCTTCACTTACAAGTTATTATGGAGATAAGAATTGCATTGGAATAACTTACGGATACCGACAGAACCGAGTGTGTGAATGCAAGTACACGTTTTTAACTTATGGATAAGCATGTAAAGGCATCGCAAGACAGATGACAAGGGCTTAAACACGAGCACAAAACGACACTTGACTCCGCGAACACTTCCAGCTCGTGCTGCCATCTTCGACGAGTTTGAAGTACTACAAGTCGCAATTTCGCACGGTTAGCTTGGCAGTACCTCGACGCCGTACAAACGTGCCATCGTGCAATGAAACGATGACGTATTGGAGAGGGTATTTATTGAAGAGAAACTTTGTACTTAAGAACAGCCTTTTTACTTAAAACTATACAAAAATTAGATACCATTTTTGCTTCAACATATCTGCTGATTGCTTTAATATCTTCAAACGTGGAGCATTTCCTTTAACTAAGAATCTCGAGCAATCATTACTATGCACTGATAGTACTCGACGTTTCAAGTTGGTTGCATCGGTATCATTTACATGCACCTCCTGGTTCTCTGGTACATCCTGGTTTAAGCGCAGCTCCTGATATATTGAACGTAGATCACTTCCAGGATAAGAGCTGATACTGGAAAAACAGGGCCTGATCTCCTTTGTCTATTACACTAATCTGTTGACGACTGTTAGTCCCACCTCCCATCGGCGATTACTCCCATCTCACCTGCGTTGGATACATATATCCTTACCTGACGTGGGTGATGACCCCAGGCTTTCATCCGGCATTGGTGATGACATCGTGTTCTCATCTGGCGTTGGTGACGACCCCAGGCTCTCACATGTTGATGACTCCGGACTCTCACCTGGCGTTGGTGATGACTTCGGACTCTCACCTGGCGTTGATGATGACTTCGGACTCTCACCTGATGTTTTGATGACTCCGGGCTCTCACCTGGCGTTGGTGATGACTCAGGGCTCTCACCTGGCGTTGGTGATGACTTCGGACTCTCACCTGGCGTTGGTTATGACGCGCACTTTGCGCAGCAGCCGGTAGATTTGGTCCTCGAGGCTGTGCTGCAGTTGCTCGGAGGCCGGGCGGCCGGCGCGCGCTTTTTGGCGCGCCACCGCCGGCGGGCAGCTGGCGAAGTAGAAGAGCACGCGCGGCGGGCACGGCCGGCCCTGGTTCACCCAGCCGGACGGTACGCCCGGCACCGAGCGCAGCGTGTCCGTCACGTGACGCAGCAGCTTCTGCCTGTGACGCGACACACGCCGTCGGATAGCTGCACCGGACGCCACACACGCCGTCGGATAGCTGCACCGGACGCCACACACGCCGACGGAGGGCTGTACCAGACGCCACACATGCCGTCGGAGGGCTGCACCGGACGCCACACACGCCGTCGGAGGGCTGCACCAGGCGCCACACACGCCGTCGGAGGGCTGCACCAGACGCCACACACGCCGTCGGAGGGCTGCACCGGACGTCACACACGCCGTCGGAGGGCTGCACCGGACGTCACACACGCCTTCTGGGAGCTGCACCGGTCAGCCGGCACACAGACAGCGATGCTGGAAGTGCGCAGACCTTGCCGTGACAAGGTATGTTTAGGGCGGCGAAAATACAGAGTCGTCGTAGCAGAATGTACTGTAATTACGTAGCGCGGCAATCAGTATCTCCCACTGGCGTCGGCATCACACTCACTGGTTTCGTCCTGATAGGAGAGTACCATGTCTACATGTGAGTTATCCACTGCTCAAGTGTAACGTAAGTCACAACTTAAGTGAAGGGCAATCCACAACTTAAGTAAAAAGTGCCTCTTGTGAAAAAACTTAACGCTAAGGCATTCAATCAGCAAAACTGTCAACTACGCCACCCGTCCTGCGGCGTTGAGAAACATTCTTGCTTCGCTCGCACTGCAATGTATTGGTTAACTGCGACATGTCCATATGTGTATGTACATTCAGGTCCATAGATGTCGGTCCACTGACTCTGCTCGCGTCGTCATCGCGATCAATGCGACGGCACCGAGTCAGTCTACAGATAAGCCGATGAAGTAATGGGGCGAGCGGCCGACCCGACACAGGCGGCTTACCTGCAGGCGTCGATGGCGAGGAACATCTGTATGTAGCTGAGGTCGAACACGTGGCTGGGGTGGTAGAGCACTAGCAGGTGGGAGACGGAGAAGAGGAAGAGCAGCGCGCGGGCGGCCGAGTAGCGCAGCTCCGACCAGCACGTGAGGAATCCCTGCAGGGATGGCATGAAACGTGAGAAATCCCTGCAGGGATGGCATGAAACGTGAGGAATCCCTGCAGGGATGGCATGAAACGGCCGCCCGTCACCGGTCACCTACACACTCACTCTCAGGTCAGAAACACACACTCCCACGTCACCCACACGCTCACGATCTCAGGTTAGTCACACACCAATACTCCCAGGTCACCCACACACTCACTCTCAGGTCAGAAACACACACTCCCACGTCACCCACACGCTCACACTCTCAGGTTAGTCACACACCAATACTCCCAGGTCACCCACACACTCACTCTCAGGTCAGAAACACACACTCCCACGTCACCCACACGCTCACACTCTCAGGTTAGTCACACACCAATACTCCCAGGTCACCCACACACTCACACTCAGGTCACCCACACACTCACACTTTTAGGTCACCCACACACTCACTCTCAGGTCACTCACACACTCACAATCCAAGGTCACCCACACACTCACACTCTCAGGTCACCCACACACTCACACTTTTAGGTCACCCACACACTCACTCTCAGGTCACTCACACACTCACAATCCAAGGTCACCCACACACACTCTCAGGTCGCCCAAGCGCTTACACCCCCAGGTCACTCACACCCACACATTTGCAAACCCCTCACAGACAGCGAAGGCAGGTTCGTGTTCTGCGTATGAATATAGCTGGGTGAGCCCTCACACATGCTCACTGAAAATAGCGGGCTGCGTGTAATTACAGTGTCGGTGTACTGGATCATGGGCTGGTGCAAACAAACGCCTTTGACAGTCCTTCGGCGACGCAGACTCACGTGGATCGTGCAACGACGATACTCATTATGCCATGTCATGTCATGGTGTAATGAGTATCGCCATTCAGGGTCACACAAATACCCTACACATGCATGCAGTTCTGAATTTCGCAGTGCGACACAAGCTGCATTAGACAGGTGACCCAACTTGGCGGAAATATATGTCGCAGGGGCTCGCTGACTTACATTTTCATCAATTTTGTTCTTCAAGTCCCGGCAGATCCTGCACAGAACCGACGTATCCAGCGTGGAGCGCAGGTGGAGATAGACCACGTTCTCTTGGGCGCAGAAGAAGCCCTCAACGCGTGTCTGTGGACGAAGGTCCGGATGAGTTCGGGACACCAATATCAGGGAGTCCCAGACCCGAACGAGGCAGCTCAGCTGTGGGATCCCCTGGGCGGATTCCCTGGGCGGGAGACCTCGGCCGAACTCGATAGCAGCAACGCGGCTCCGTCCTAGAGCGTTACCACCCGAGAGCAACACAGTCGGTGGCGTGCCCATCTTGGCTAAACAGCACTGAGCAGAGCCACCCAGGAGGAGGCGAGACACGACACCACAGCGCGAAGTGGGTAGGTGGTCTGTAAGGCTGACCTCCAGACGGGGACCGCACGGCTAGGACAGCTCACCTGCTCCTGGCCCAAGTCCAGCTCCGGCTGGGGACCGGGGACAGTTCACCTGGTCCTCGCCCAGGACCAGCTCCGGCTGGGGACCGGGGACAGCTCAGCTGCTCCTCGCCCAGGTCCAGCTCCGGCTGGGGACCGGAGACAGCTCACCTGCTCCTCGCACAGATCCAGCTCCGGCCAGGGACCGGGGACAGCTCACCTGCTCCTCGCCTACGCCCAGCTCCGGCTGGGGACTGGGGACATCTCACCTGCTCCTCGCCCAGGTCCAGCTCCGGCTGGGGACTGGGGGCAGCTCACCTGCTCCTCGCCTAGGTCTAGCTCCGGCTGGGGACCGAACACCGAGTGGCTCAGCAGGTTACGGAAGGCGTGCCCCTTGCCGCCGCCGGCCAGGTCGGTACTCTTCCCGATGAGCGCCACCACCACCACCTTATCCGCCGGCCACCTGGAGCACAGCATGGAATGCAGTTGTGCATGTGCATGCTTTGGTGGTGTTTCTGACCATCCAGAATGATGAGTGGAAAATGAAGTCAGCACAAAACCACACTGTCAGCACAGGACCATGCTATCAGCAGGAGACCATGCTGTCAGCACAGGACCATGATGTCAGCATAAAACCATACTCTCAGCACAGGACCATGCTATCAGCACAAGCCCATGCCGTCAGCACAGGACCACGCTGTCAGCATAGGACCATGCTATCAGCACAAGGCCATGTCATCAGCACAGGACCATGCTGTCAGCACAGGGCCATACTGTCAGCACAGGACCATGCTGTCAGCACAGGATCATGCTATCAGCACAGGATCATGCTGTCAGCACAGGACCCTGCTATCAGCACAGGATTCTGCTGTCAGCACATGGCCCTGCTGTCAGCACAGGATCATGGTGCCAGCACAGGACCCTGCTATCAGCACAGGATCCTGCTGTCAGCACAGGACCATGCCGTCAGTATAGGCTGATGCTGTTAGCTCTGGATCCCGCTGTCAGCACAGGACTATGCTGTCAGTGCAGGACCATGGTGCTAGCACAGAACCCTGCTATCAGCACATGACCCTGCTGTCAGCACATGACACTGCTGACAGCATAGGACCATGATGCCAGCACAAGACCATCCACTGGTGTTACCAACAGCCGACAACATTGGTATTTGCCTAGCTACGCTGGAGTGAGCAGGACAATGTCATGCAGCAGTAATCCTATTGACAAAATTATTCATGGCATTACCCTGTATCAGAAAAAGGATGGGCAAGGTTGAATAATCAAAGTTGTCTCAACTGGCAATGGTAAACATGCATGGCATTGATACAAATCAATATATTGATCAACAAACATAGGAGTACAACATATAAAATTTACCAAATAGCAGGGCATGATATAAATGCAAATATCAAACCAAATTTGTTTGGTCAATAAAGAACAACATTACTTCAATAACATGGCATTGACATACAACCACCGACTGTAACTTCCACACGACAAATCAGCTACCGGCTTTCTCTTATCAGCCTTTGAGATAGTCATCGCTGTGAAATTTGCTACTCTTAGCTGAGTTGCTACACGGTATGATGACCCCTTTTCAAGTTGTTCTTACAATGTAGGAGGCGTGGTGTACTGGCGCAAAGTACCGATGGTGCATTCTGATAATTTTGAGGTAGGGAAATGATAATGAAGATACAAACTCACCCGGCGTTCCTTTCCGCGCGCGTCGCGGTCGGGTGGACCTACGGTGGTGGCAGGTATTGCACTTTACGTATTGGGAGATATGAAAATAGGTGAGCATGATTAGCGCATGATGCCGAAATTACAAGACACCGGAGCTTGCAAAAGCTGTTTTGCCCAACAACATAACTAAGCGATGACTGGTATGACAGATCTGGTTTCTTTTCACGCATTATGATTGCTTAGTTCAGGCGGTACACACCAAATAAACCAGACATAGCAACATGAAAACTGAACAGTGCAGTAACCACCGCGTACTGTCTCGGTTCCGTCGCGCGGGTCACGGTAATCTGCGCTCCTGGCGCCAACCAAACGCTTCTCTGCTGAGCTAGTCAAAACACGTCGGCAGGGCAGCACCGGCTACGCAGGCGGACACCTCGGTGGTCAGCTTTCCCGACCTCTCCATGGCCTGGGCGCGGTACAGCACATCAGCCTTCAGCGGTGAATAGACCAGCTGCTTCTGCTGATCGCTGCCCAGTTGCTTCAAGAAGGACGGCTGCGAATCAATTTCCCCGGCGACGTGCCGCACGGCCACCAGATACAAGTCCCTATTGGTGTCGCGGATGGTTTCAGGGACCTCGAAGCGACCGGATCGGCAGCTGGCTGGGTCTCTTTTTGGCGACCTGGTCAGGTCGACGGCCTCGGCCTTGCCCTGCTTGCCATCGTCGCCGACTATCACCATCACGATGCTCTCCGGTTGGGTCATCTGCACATTCCTCGCGATGACGTTTTGGGCGGCGGTGAGGACGAGCGCACACAGATACTTGTGCTGCCGCCGTAACTGCTTCGCCAGGTACGTGGAGTGCGCATAATGTCCCACATATGCTTGTTCGAGATCACCGCAGGCACCTATACACACGCCGCCCGCCACATGCCGGGCTACTGCGGCGAACTCAGGTCGGGTCAGATTTGAGGTGCACAAGCACAGAAGATCGCTCTGCACGGTGAACCATAAGGCGGGGTTTAACATCTGATGTAACTCTCACAGCACTTACGTCTTCAGAGGTCACGCTCCTCGCTCACTTGTCAAGTAGCCATGTGCGCAAACTGAAGCAACTCTCCATGTCAGCTAGCAGCTGAATGAAGGTGCCACAAGGGGCTCCTCAAGTTCTAAAGGGGGACCAAATTTGACCTCTGGTGACCATGGAAATTCTGTGCCAACTAATTCATAAGCAGAATTGCAGGACCACTACACATGTTATACTGCAGTGCAAAGACACAGCTTACAAATTTTCCATCTTGTGAATACCATGTGGCATGATATAAAGATGAATTTCTCCTAGGGTGCATAAATATGAGATCATGGTCATTGGCAGATATGTCTGAATCCCCAATGATCCAAGGATCCCAATAACATGGAGCTCTATGGGACCCTGGATCCCAGTTTTATTTTCCATGTTTTATTTTCAAGGCCAGACCAGGAATACACTGGTCAGTAGCAATGCATCAGCCCCTCATCAGCAACATTGAGAAAATGGTAAGCTAATGCAGGGCACTATGTGCTTTTATGTGAATTTAGGGTAAGTTGGGCGTTTTCCCTTCTCAGTCCTGCTCCATCCATCTGACTTCCTTTGAAACCCTACGCCCCTGGGTAACTGGTGTCATCTTGGAATTTACTATGGACATTGCATATCTTGAAAGAGTGGACTTGTTCAGACATTGTTTACACCATTGGTGGATTTTGCACAAGGTCACGGAAATCTAACCACTGTGCTCCAGCATGAAAACAAGCAGACATGTGACTTCTCAACCCACTCTAATTGGAAAATATCTTAACTACTTACCTTCCATCTTCTTTGGAAGGAAGCAAAAATTGGAAACTACTTGACTTCATTGCTGCTTGATCAGTCCATCGATCTGTAAAATGCACTAATTAAAACACAAGTCAACCAAGCTAGAACACACTAATTTGGGAATCATGCATCGCAAAAATCGAAACAAGATTACCGTATTCAACACGTAAAACAATGAATCATCTATTTCCGGGATGCACATTAGCGCATACATAAATCTATCCCACACAGAGACCTCATCCTACCACTTTAAAAAACTGTGATTACCGCGTGCACGCACGGGCTTCTCAGCGCTCGACACAACGCGTCAGAACGCGGTTCTTCCTAGCATTATCAGTGACGGGATCGGTCGGTGCGCTAATGCGCTCAGGCGTTGAGAATCAGTGCTACCTGGTTTGTAGCTTGTTTACTTTTGGTCTGGTCGTTGACGCGCAAGTATTGTCACAGACCGATACTACCTACATAGTAACAGGTAGCTAAATTAAAGACGGGCTGACATCTGTGGTCTTGTTTCCGCAAGACCATCGTCCACAAGCTTTGCCTTCATTCTGGGAACACTTTTGGTCGGTTAAGTACACTGGCAATAAGAAGAAAACGCTTTTTCCGTTGGTATAGATGTTCTAATGTGCGTTACTACATGTGGGTGGCCGGCCCGCGGCATATAAACCGACATCGCGGTCAAAACATTGTAATCGGGCCCGGAGAGTGCAGCCATGTGCATTTGACAGCTCTATTGAATGGCTATCACCTGACATTGGAACATGCCTGTCAGCCGAAACCATCCTTGCATTTGGTTGGCCCATGACCGCGACATCACCCAATGCTGGCCGCATGGCTGCCAAGGAAATTTGAAAAGTGGCGGCGGTCAAACAAAAAGTATTGTGATCTTGCGCGACTGATACAAACATGTGCACGTGATAGCACTGCGGGAGTACTATTGGCTGGCAATGCACATCATTATCGCTCGTCGGTAGATAACTGCGTTGCTTGCTATGATTCCCTGACGGCGAATAGCTAAACGCTCCGACATGCCTTTAGCGTGATAGCCAGTATGTGGCGGCCCGAGGAAAAAACAACACTATAATCGTGTTCAGAAAGCGTGCCGTGTGCTGCTGCCAATCCTGCCAGAAAGCTAACAGCATTGCCGTAAGGCTATGACCTGGCAAGGTAACATGCTTGTCGGCCGAGGGCAGCCATTTTGTTTGGTTGACCCGCTGTAAGCGGATCACCCCCAGCGTGTGCCTCGGCCGCACGGCGATTTGCTGAGTTCGGCGATAAACAGATGCAGTTAACGTCGTGCGCAGCGGGTGCGACCGTGTGCACCTAAGAACACCGTGGGAGCAGTATGGATTGGAAATCTCGGTCGTGGGCGTGTTATGCGCATTGTATTCATGTAACCCCTGAAGATGAATTTCGAAATAAAGCCGGCCTGAACGTAGCTTGGTGGTCAAAATTCCCCACCTCGGTAAGAATACCCCTGACTGTGGGCGGTGAGCGTGGCCGTGTGAATGTTATAGCATCCCTCTAAAGCTGTCAGTTCGCGCTGGAATGTGGTTACAGGCTGGCGGCATCCACTGTACTGGATTGGCCTCATGACATCGCAGCGCCCGATGCTATCAGGCCGGCTGCAGCGGGAATTGGCAAAGATACGGATGTCAGATGAAATATATGTTGCCTTCTGCTGCGGGCGCGACCGTGGAACATGATATCCCCGGTGGCACCCGTAGCGGAGGCCAGTGGACGCCTTATTTTTGGAAATCCCCATTTCAGCGGGCCTGGCAGCATTGTAAAATATAATGGACATAAATTGGCTCTCAGTTAAGGTTGAGCGGGCTTTGCAAGTTTCAGTCACAAACCACGGTTTGTGCTTCATAATATAGGAATTTGAGCATAAATACTAGTTATTAGAGAAAAAGGATTTGTCGCCGAATAATTGAAAAATAGCGGCACATGCGAGCATGTAAATAGAAGTACCCACCTTACACTTACGGATAAGTATGCAGGAACACGACGAGAAAGGGCTAAACTGCGAGCACATCACGACATTTGGTTTGGAATCCCACGGTGACACCCCTAGCCAGAGGTCGTGTATCCGGATTTGGTATGGGTGCAAATATTTTGCGAAGAACCCCCAAACCGATACGCCCCTATATTTCAGCATAAATGCGCAGCCAGAGCCCCAGAAAAGGACGGAAACACGATTGACAAAGGGCCACCTGATAGTTGAAGCTCCCACCCCCAACCAAAAATCACCAAATATGGCCCGTTTGTTAATGAGGGCATGCTTTCATAATTTCATTTTTACCTTCTGCCGCTGGATTAGGAGCCAGAAGCTGCGGCGATATCAATTCTGCTCGAATTTTATAGTCAATCAACTGAAAAATAATGCGTTAAATGACTGCATAAAACAAATCACCGGCGCTGGTTGTTTTACAACGGTTCAGTGCACCTTTCTCTAAACCAAGAGAACTCAGGGGCTTTGTCAGAACCTTATCCAGGCTGCGCAGCGATATCAAGGACCTTCGCGAATGTAGATCGAAATGGGTTAACAATTTGTATGAACATGGCCAAGCCATGCTTGTCTCGAAATGTTCAACATTTAGTCAGTATTGAGAAGTGATACAAATTAAATAATGTGGTTTTGAGCACGCGGGCTCAAAAAGCACAAAAGCACTAAAGCAGCCCGTGAAACCCTCGAAGCCAGGTATTGCAGTCTCCATACGCAGCCAGCGCCGCCCCTGGGGCTAACACTAAGTCGTGGTCAACGGCAGACTAAAAAGTGACACATTTGACAGAAGGGCCTTTGAATGCTTGAGGACGTAAAACCGTGCGTCTAGAGGGCAGCCGGGCTTGTATTTTGCCTGTGCGATTTTTAGATTGATGAATTGAACGGGTTAGCCTTCACAGCACCACGAAGTGGCGCTGGAATCTGGTGGTAGGGCTGTAGGAGTAACGACAGAACCTCTATTTTTGTGTTGCTGTAAGTTGTGTTGTTGTTTTGTTGTCATCTGTCCAGAGGACAACGCTAAAATTGCAAAAAAGATACGCCTGGCCTAACCTTTGAGGATACTAATTAGTTTTTTAAGATATTCGGAAGTGTCATTCCACGACGGTCGGTACCGCGCGCACGGCACCCGCCGCCTGGTGTTACAGTGGCCAACGTCGTTCGATTACACGGAAGCTGCATCCCAGGCTATCGCTGTCCTTGCTTCCGAGATTACGGGATCGCAGGCTCAAACCTTTTGACAATTTTTTTTCCACTAGTCAATTCCGCAAAAGAATGAACGTTCTCAGTCAAACATGGGATGGGCTTGCTCGTTTTTCCGACCCATTCTTTTCAACTCTAATGAGATCCATTATTTATTTCCAGGAATAGGTCCTCTTTGAGAAGAGCACTAGGGGGCACATCACTCTTTCCGGTCAAGGGCTGAAGGGCCATTTCGTCCGCCGCGGGGTGTCTTCAGGCAGCCAACCAGGTGATTTGGGGCGGCATTCCGTGGCCGATCCGGAAGCCCTTAGAGGGATACGTCATATCACACTGGTCCCCTCCCTGACGTGGGAGGCCTTCTGACCCACGCAGACCGCAATTGACCCCGGATCCACGCAGAAACCCCCATTGACGCAATAACATTCCTGGCGGCCGCGCCGGGTCCAAAATTGGCACATAGACCCCAGTTTGGATTAACGGGCACATGCTGGATTTGGGTTGGAGCGACTACCGCTCGCTACAGGGCTCACCGACTGGTACAGGACCCTTCCTCTGTCTCAATGTGAACAGTCATCATCAGCTGTCATGCTTCCCTTCACTGTCGAAGGACCCTAACCAACGCAAGGGGCCTCTTTCATTCGGGGTCCCGCCCCCGTCCCTATTGAGCACATCTTTCTTTGACCGACTCGAGGCTCCTTGTTGGCACAGAATCCTTTATTCCGTACTCTGGACCTCTGAACGATACAGGAGCCTGGCAATGGTGCCTGGGCCCCGACCAATGTAAATCGCGGGTGCGGCCATGTCCCTGCTTTGGAAATGGGCCCTCAGAACTCAGACCGACACGGAGCCGACTGTTCGGTGTTGGTGATCTCTGGCCTAAGCAGAGGAGTCCTCGATGTCATGTTGATGATGATTCAATTCAATTCAACTAATGTGAACAATCATCATGACCTGCCGTGTTTCCCTGCATTGTCAGAGAACCTGACCAACGCAAGAGGCCTTTGTCATTCGGGATCCCGTTTCCGCCCCTACGGATGGGGGTCCTTAATGCGACCTACACCCAGTCCTTTGGGCCGTTTAGCTTTCAAATCAAGTCCTTGATTTTTGGTCTCAAAAGGCCCTTCGGCCCTTTTCGGGCCCCTCAAACACAGCTCCTGGCCGATTCGAGCCACTTGCCGCCACACGACCCCTGTTAGGCGCTGTGGCCCCTGACCGACACAGGAGCCACTGATTGTGTCATGGATCCAGAACATTGCAAATCGCGGGCCCCGGCCTCGTTCCTGCTGGAGAAATGGCTCTCGAGGGCTCAGACGGACATGGAGCCGACTGTTTGGCTCCGTGTCGAGGCCCTATATAATAGGGATAGAGAGTCCTAACAAGAGGGACCTTATAGAAACCGTCTGACTGACATATCAGGTCATGACACTACGGGTGGACGGTCGGGTCTGAGCCCCATTGGGACTTTACTCTTTGGTCTCGAGGAGCCCTCAGGCCCTTCTTCGGACCTCCTCAAACAAGGCATGTCACCGACTAGGGGCCACTAGCCGAGTTATGTCCCCCGTTATGCACCGTGGGTCCTTGACTGACAAAGGGCCCCAACCAATGTAAATCGTGGCCCCCGGTCTTGCCCCTGCTTGGAAAATGGGCCCCCAGGGTTCAGATTGACTGGAGGCTAGCTGTTTTGTGCTCGTGGTCTCCAGCCGAGTTAGACACCCACATTGTCTCAGGGGTCTTCAAACGGTATAAGAGTACGTCTGACTGATATTTCAGGTAGCGACCCTACGGGCCGCGATTCTTTATGTGACCTACAGCCAGTCCTTCAGGCCCTTATGCCCTCCAACCGGGCATTAAATAGTCTGCTCCGTTGGACAACCCGAGCCCTTCTTCGGACATCATCGAACACTGCCCTTGGTCGCCTCGAGGCCCCTTGCGAATACAGGGCCCTCTGTTAGGCGCTGTGGGCCCCTGACAGATGCAGGGGCACCGACCAGAACAAATCACTCGCCCGGCTTCGTAACTGATGGGGAAGTGAGCCCTTAGGCCGATTCTGATACGGAGCGGACTGTGCAGCACTGGTGATGCCTGACCGACATATAGATCTATATCGACTCAAGGCGTCCCCGATCGGTGCAAAGGGCCCTCTGA